GAAGAGGGGCAACCGGGACAGAATCCGGCGCCCCGACCGGGACTAGAACCCGGTGTGCCGGCGCCGCTAGGCGGAGGATTAGCCTAGTGAGCCGCGGCGCCGGCCAATTAATTCACTCTTGAAATGGCCTCAACATCAGGGAATAGGCCAGGTTAAGCCAGGAGTCAAAAAACCCATCCACGTCTCTCACATGGTGGCAGGAACTCAAGTACTAGAGCCACCATCTGCTGTTTCCTGGGTGCATTAGTTTTTTTTGTTTTTTTTTTTTTGTTTGTTTGTTTTTTTTATTTTAGGAGCCAGGTACTTCTCCTGGTCTCCCATGGGGTGCAGGGCCCAAGCACTTGGGCCATCCTCCACTGCACTCCCTGGCCACAGCAGAGAGCTGGCCTGGAAGAGGGGCAACCGGAACAGAATCCGGTGCCCCGACCGGGACTAGAACCCGGTGTGCCGGTGCCGCAAGGTGGAGGATTAGCCTAGTGAGCCACGGCGCCGGCCTCCTGGGTGCATTAGTAAGCAGTTGGACTGAAAGTGGAGGAGCCAGGATTTGGACCAGCACTCTGATTTAGTATACGGGTGACAAAAGCAGTAGCTTAACCCACTGTACAATGACAGCCTCAAGGCACTGCTTTAATAGTTCAATCTTTTATTGCTAACTTTTGATGTCTTTCAGACTTTATTCTAAATTTAGAGGCAAGGACATTAATTCAGTTCCGAGGGTAGTTTCTTCTACACAGCAGTCATTCAGATTTGAGTTAATTCAAAGAAGTTAACAAAGAATGGGGAAAAAGATTAACTTGTGAATTTCTCTGCAAAGAATCCAAACATTGGGGCCAGCATTGTGGCACAGCAGGTAAAGCAGCCACCTGCAATACCAGCATCCCATATGGGCACCAGTTTGAGTCCCAGCTGATCTATTTCTGATCCAGCTCTCTGCTAATGGCCTGAGAAAGCAGCAGCAGATGGCCCAAATGTCTGGACCCCTACCACTCAGGCGGGCAACCTGGATGAAGCTCCTGGCTCCTGGCTTTGGGCCAGCCCTCTGCTGGCTGTTGAGGCCACCTGGGAAGTGAACCCAGCAGATGGAAGATCTCTCTCCCTCTCTTAATTCTTTCAAATAATAATAAAAAAGAAAAGAACTCAAAACATTATTTCACACCTGAACTACTAAAAGCTCAAACACAGATGAGTTCGTCATCTGTCAATATGGCTCAATGCATCACAGGAGAACTTTTCTTGAATTCTCTCTACACCTATAAGAAATAGTATCTTAATGGTGGACATTGTGGGGCAATAGGTTAAGCTGCTGCTTGGGATACCTGCACTCCATATTGGAATGCCAGGTTTAATACCTGGCTACTCTGCTTCTCATCTAGCTTTCTGCTAATGTGCCTGCAAAGCAGCCGACAACAGCACAAATGCTTGAGTCCTTGCAACCCTCATGGGAGACTCAGAGAGAGCTCTAGTTCCTGGTTTTGGCCTGGCCTAGCTCTGGCTGTTACAGCTATTTGGGGAGTGAACCAGCAGATATCTTTCTCTTTGTCACTCTTTCAAACAACAAATCTTTAAGAGAAAAAAGAAAGAAAAAAACACCCAAAAAACTATACCTTAGTTCATGAAAAAAACTGAAATACTTCTAGATGTCTAAATCAGAGTCCAGGCTTCCCCTGAAGCACTAACAGGTTCTTTCCCAAATAGTTTATAATAAGTCAGATAAAATTTACTTCCTCAAATATTATCAATGAAGCTGATGGAATAAAATGAAGATAAAAAATTGCCAGGGGGGCCGGCGCCGCAGCTCACTAGGCTAATCCTCCGCCTAGCGGCGCCGGCACACAGGGTTCTAGTCCCGGTCGGGGCGCGGATTCTGTCCCGGTTGCCCCTCTTTCCAGGCCAGCTCTCTGCTGTGGCCAGGGAGTGCAGTGGAGGATGGCCCAGGTGCTTGGGCCCTGCACCCCATGGGAAACCAGGAAAAGCACCTGGCTCCTGGCTCCTGCCATCGGATCAGCGCGGTGCGCCGGCCGCAGCGGCCATTGGAGGGTGAACCAACGGCAAAGGAAGACCTTTCTGTCTCTCTCTCTCACTATCCACTCTGCCTGTCAAAAAAAAAAAAAAAAAAAAAAAAAAAATTGCCAGGGGCAGGTATTCGGCATAGTGGTTAAGATGCTGCCTGGGCCAGCGCCGCGGCTCACTAGGCTAATCCTCTGCCTGCGGTGCCGGTGCACCAGGTTCTAGTCCCAGTTGGGGCGCTGGATTCTGTCCCAGTTGCTCCTCTTCCAGTCCAGCTCTCTGCTGTGGCCCGGGAAGGCAGTGCAGGATGGCCCAAGTCCTTGGGCCCTGTACCCACATGAGAGACCAAGAGAAGCACCTGGCTCCTGGCTTCGGATCAGCATGGTGCGCTGGCCACAGCGGCCATTGGGGGGTGAACCAACGAAAAAGGAAGACCTTTCTCTGTCTCTCTAAATCTTCCGGTCCAAAAAAAAAAAAAAAAAAAAAGATGCTCTCTGGAATGCCAGCATCTCCTGTTAGAGTACCTGATTCAAGTCCCAGCTCCTCAGCTTCTGATCCAGTTCCCTGCTACTGTGCATCCTCAAGTATGGGGCCCTGCCACCCTCATAGGACACAGGGACTGGGTTCCAGGCTTCTAGCTGCAACCTGGCCTAGCCCTGGTTTTGCAGGCATCTGGGTAGTGAACCAGAAGATGGAAAATATATGTCTCCCCACCCTCTCAAGTAAAAGTGAAACTAAATGAAAACTAAAAAGTGTTTAAATGGAACAACAAAAAGTATCTACTCTCCCTTACCCCAAAACAAAGATGATATAGAAGATAAGGAAAATTAAAGATTTCAATCAAAAATATGCTCTGTGAGCACTGATTTATATTGACTACATAATTTAAATATGCTTTTAATCTTTTGAAAATAGAATTTTAGCCATTTCTAATTGTCAAAAGGTGATTACCTATTATAGGGAAACTATTTACCCCAAGAAAAAGATACTCATTTTCTCGAGTCATAAAATTTAAAACATAAAATTGTTTAATTATTTTAAAATATCTTAAGTAGAACAAAACTATTTCTAGCTCCTGAACACTGGCCATTTAACATGAATTAAAGTCAGAGCAACAAGTGACTTTTCTATGTACTTCTCAATAAGAAACAGATAAAATTATTAAATAAACTATGTTGTCAAGCATTTATGAATGTTTAATATCTATGCAAAGCACAATACAAGATAGCCAATAAATGTTTTAACGTCACAGCCAAAACCAAGAGCTGTGATCTTATCAGACTCTAAGGTCTTTCCGTAAGCTAAAAAAGAATGCTACAATGTCTTAGAGTCTCTTGGAATATGTATATCTACATTTGAATACTGCAAAAGAACACTGACCTTGATGTTAGGAAACAATGGTCAACTGCTAAACTCAATTCCTTCTCTTGAGTTTTCAAAAATAAATCAAATAAACCATAGCTCTGTCCCATCAAAGGGGGTAGAGGAGGGGTCAGCTGAGATAGGAATCAATGTTCTCTTGGATGTTACACTGCTCAATAGCTTTGAAACAGAATCGGAATTTATTTAGAAGATGATGGCTACACTCTGTTCCATAAAGAAACTTCCTTTGGTAATTTGGAAGAACTGGGTACCTATTTACTGATTGATTTCTTTACTGTTCCTTTCAAAAACTAAGATTTTTCTGTAAAATAAAATAAGCATTTTAAATATAATGTTTTTATAATTTTAGGAAACTACATAATACCCAGAATTAAATAATGTAAACTGAGTAGAAATGACTTAACTAACTCATCCCAGGTTCATGTCTGTAAAATAAACTGAAATATTTTTGCCTTAGAAGTAGTCCATAATTTGGTTTCCTAAGAGAACTATTTTTCTTTTCAAAATAAAAGAGATAGTAATATACCCAAATTGCAAAAGTACAAAATTTAAATCATAAGTCAATATCTAGCATAGATATTCTATGTCCACACATATTATATTTTCCTTAGTGAAGTGGCAGGAGGGAGTGTGTAGAAAAGGTAGATGAAATAAAATATAAAGGATAACCACACTAGGGAACCAAAAAGAGAATCTTACCTATCCTGAATAGAAGTAACTAGATGAATAAAACAATGAATACCAAACCTTCAACCAAAGCTAAGTATATGAATTTAATTGAGGCCAATACAGACTTTTAAAAATCTAGTATCTGATATCTATATAAAGGCCTACATGAAACAAATTGGTGATCTCAGTTCAGATATCCTGGAGGTCTTATTATTGTGAGTGTACAGTACTGAAGGTAACATGTCTGACTGAACTAGATTCCATTTCAGACAATTACACTGAATTACTATTTTCACAAGATACCTGAAATGGTTCAAAATTACTAAAATTTTACTATTTTCAGAAACAAATATTAAACCCATTATGCCTTAAATGAATGTACATTAAAATGTATATTTTGTATAAAAATGTATTTACTTCATGAGTTTTTTAGTATACTACAAAATTCTAAGGTCTTTCTAGAATTTTTCTTTATTAATTATAAAGAAAAACTCCCATGACAGAAAAGAGAAGATAAAGGAAATTCTCAAACCATCTATTTGATATAATATATATCACCATCATTTCCAAAATATATAGTTGTGCAAAGCTATTTGAATGTTAATTGGTACAAGTGTAATTTATTAAAATCAAAGAAAATGTTTAAAAATTAATACTGAAGTTGAATAGCATGACTCCTTAGAAGGGGTAACATAACTACTTTAGAAGAATATAATTTAAATTTGAAATCCCACAACATAAACCAGTCAGAATAAATTATCTGGTATTTATGTTTGGCTTTGCTTGAAAACAATCCAATGTTTATTTACCATGCATAGTCTATACATAGCATTATTTCCTAAAAAAAGAAATTTTTCATTGACTTTAATTTGGCAATTCATCTCATTGTAATCCTGACCTAATATTTGATATTTGCATTCTAGAATTCAAATTCCACTTACCACATATTTTACAGCACTTATAAACTGGTTGTGGAAAAGCAGATGTTGTGTTTCATCTTCTGGATTTGAAGCTGTGTAAAGCATTCCACAAATATTACAGGAAACTGCTCCAAATCTTTTCTGCCCTGCATCCTATTTATAAAAAAAAAAAAAAAAAAAAGTGTTTTCCTCCCAAAAGAGTTTCCACAACGTAAGTCTCTAAGGCTACAATGTGAACATAAAGAACGAACTACTAAAATCTAAAATATTCAGTGTTCATTCCAAAAATTAAGATGCTAATATTTGAAATCTGTCCTTTTACTAAGAAATATTTTCATTTTAGTAATCTGCTCTCTCACTCCACAGAACAATTTTTTTGCATATAAAAATTTAATGGAGGGACCAGCGCTGTGGTGTAGCAGGTAAAACCATCGCCAGCAGTGCTGGCATCCCATATGGGCACCAGCTCAAGTCCCAGCTGTTCCACTTCCAATCCAGCTCTCTGCTATGGCCTAGGAAAACAGTAGAAGATGGCTCAAGTCCTTGGGTCCCTGTACCCGCGTGGGAGATCTGTGCAGCTCCCGTAGCAGCCATTTGGGGAGTGAACCATCCGATGGAAGGCCTCTCTCACTCTCTCTGCCTCTCCTTCTCTATGTAACTCTGTCAAATAAATAAATCTTTTAAAAAAAAATTAATGGCACTGAAAAATGGCTTTACTACAAAGTTCCAAACAGCACATACTCTATACCGTCTTAACTTCATTTTTAAAGTTTAAGACTGTTCTCTAATGGTTTTCTTCTAGATATTTGACTTTTTAAAAAAGTTTTTGGGGGGAGCCAGTGCCATGGCCCACTTGGTTAATCCTCCGCCTGTGGCGCTGGCATCCCATATGGGCACCAGTTCGGGTCCCAGCTGCCCCTCTTCCAGTCCAGCTCTCTGCTGTGGCCCAGGAGGGCAGTGGAGGATGGACCAAGTGCTGGGGCCCCTGCACCTGCACAGGAGACCGGGAAGAAGCACCTGGCTCCTGGCTTCACATCAGCATAGCGCTGGCTGTAGCGGCCATTTGGTGAGTGAACCAACAGAAGGAAGACCTTTCTGTCTATCTATCTATAACTCTACTTGTAAAATAAAAAAAAAATAAAAAAAAAGTTTTTGTGGGGCCGGAGCTGTGGTGTAGTAGGTAAAGCAGTGCTGACATGCCATATGGTTCGAGACCCAGTTGCTCTACTTCCAATCCAGCTCTCTGCTATGGCCTGGGAAAGCAGCAGAAGATGGCCCAAGTGCTTAGGCTCCTGCACCCATATGGGAGATCTGGAGAAAGCTCCTGGCTGCTGGCTTCAGCTCAGCTCAGCTCTGGCCATTGCATCATCTGGGAAGTGAACTAGCAAGTAGAAGACCCTTCTCTCTGTCTCTCCCTCTCTCTCTGTAACCCTACTTCTCAAATAAATAAATGAAATCTTAAAAAAAAAAAAAAAACCTTAAAAGCTATAAGCACTTTACTCTTTTGATCATTTTAAACATAATAGATTTGTTTACATTTTGTGGTTTTAAGTGATAAACAGATTTTATACATATATTTTAAGCATTCATGATGTAATCTTTTCTTTAAGTTTTTAGAATTTCTTGGCTACAAAGATGGTCTGAGTTTTTTCAAGTTGTTCCAAAACTCAAAAAAAAAAAAAAAATTGCCATGTAAGTGGCTTAATGCAGTTCAAATCTGTGCTATTCAAGGATCTAGGTACACAGATCAAAGAACGTTTGGCTCTTTGAACCTTTTGCCTGTTCTGAATGATGAGCATAAATGAACAAATATGTCTTTCAGCAAGCAATTTTCACTACAATGAAATGTGCTGTGGTATAGCAGATAAAGCAGCCGCCTGTGGTGCCAGCACCCCATATGGCACCAGTTCAAGTCCCAGCTGCTCCACTTTCGATTCACCTCTCTGCTATGGCCTAGGAAAGCAGTAGAAAATGGCTCAACTGCTTGGGCCCCTGTACCCGCATAGGAGATCCGGAAGAAGCTCCTGGCTCCTGGCTTGAGATCGGTGCAGCTCCAGCCTTTGCGGCTATTTGGGGAGTGAACCAAGGGAAGGAAGACCTTTCTGTCTGTCTCTTCCTCTCACTGTCTGTAACTTTACCTCTCAAATAAATAATTAAAATCTTTACAAAAAATAATAAATAAATAAATATCTTAACCAAAAAAAAAAGTTCACTGTTCAGCCTTACTATCTTTGTAATTTTCCTGCAAGGCTTAACATAGTTAGTATGAACGGAATTCATTTAACAATGCATTCAAAAGTATTAGCTGGGGCCCGGCGTTATGGTGTAGCCAGTAAAGCCACCACCTGCAGTGCTGGCATCCCATATGGGCGCCAATTCGAGTCCTGGCTGCACTACTTCCAATCCAGCTCTCTGCTATGGCGTGGGAAAGCAGTGGAAAATGGCCCAAGTCCTTGGATCCCTGCACCCACGTGGGAGACCCAGAAGAAATTCTGGTTCCTGGCTTCAGATCGGCACAGCTGAGGCCATTACAGTCAACTAGGGAGTAAACCAGAGGATGGAAGACCTCTCTCTTTCTGCCTCTCCTCTATCTGTTTAATTCTAACTTCCAAATAAATAAATAAATCTTTTAAAAAAAAGTATTATCTAGTATTATCATTATTAACATCTTCATGATCACATGATCAACACTTTACCAGCACTATCCAATGCAAAAGTGATCCTCAAATAAAATTTAAAATTTTCTTGGGCCGGCGCCACGGCTCACTAGGCTAATCCTCCGCCTAGCGGCGCCGGCACACAGGGTTCTAGTCCCGGTCGGGGCGCCGGATTCTGTCCCGGTTGCCCCTCTTCCAGGCCAGCCCTCTGCTGTGGCCAGGGAGTGCAGTGGAGGATGGCCCAGGTGCTTGGGCCCTGCACCCCATGGGAGACCAGGAAAAGCACCTGGCTCCTGGCTCCTGCCATCGGATCAGCGCGGTGCGCCGGCCGCAGCGCGCCGGCCGCGGCGGCCATTGGAGGGTGAACCAACGGCAAAAGGAAGACCTTTCTCTCTGTCTCTCTCTCTCACTGTCCACTCTGCCTGTCAAAAAAAAAAATAAATAAAAAATAAATTTAAAATTTTCTATTAGTCACATTAAGTAATGCCAATATAGACAGGTAAAATTGAGTTTCACATTTAAGAAAATATATCTCAAATCTTGTAATTTCAAATGTATTCAATATTAAAAAAATTAGAGCTGCTTTATGTTCTTTTTTTGTACATGTCTTTGAAATTCAGCATGTAGTTTTTATACTTACAGCATAGCTGAATTCTGATAAGCCACATTTCAAGTGTTCAATAGCCACACACAACTACCATACTGCACAATACAGTTCTAGACTGTTTAATTCTGATTCCCTATCACACTATCACACAACAGAAACATTACTAAACATGATCAAAGTTTCCTCTCACTATGCCTAGACAATTCTTGCAAAATTACTCTAATATTATCATTAGAATACACTGTCCAGTTCCATAAACTTCTACTGAATATGCGGTCTAGAAATATATTCAATGCCCCCATTACTTTTTATCCTTTCCTTTTTATATACTATTCTCAGGGCTGGTGCTGTGGTGCAGCAGGTTAAAGCCCTGGTCTGAAGTGCCAGCATCCCATATGGGCACTGGTTCAAGCCCTGGCTTCTCCTCTTCCGATCCAACTCTCTGCTATGGCCTGGGAAACAGCAGAAGATGGCTCAAGTCCTTGGAACCCTGCACCCATGTGGGAAACCCGGAGGAGGCTCCTCGCTTCAGATCGGCGCAGCTCCAGCCATTACGGCCATCTGGGGAGTGAACCAGCAGATGAAAGACCTCTCTATCTCTACCTCTCTCTGTAACTCTGTCTTTCAAGTAAATAAGTATGTGTGTGTGTGTGTGTGTGTGTGTGTGTATATATACTATTCTCACAAATTCAAATTAAAAAAATTTTTATTTACTTTTATTTCCATGAAAAGAGAGACAAAAGAGACCTCCAATTTGCTGGCTCACTCCCCAAATGCCCAAATAGAGCTGGCCAGGCCAAAGCCAGGAGCTTGGAAGTCAATCTAGGTCTCCAGTCTTCCATGGGGGTGGCAATGACCCAACTACTTGAGTAATCACCTGCTGCTTCACAAGACAACCATCAGCAGGAAACTGGAATTGTAAGGGGAGACAGGATTCAAAACCCAGGCAGGGACCAGCACTGTGGCGAAGTAGCTTAAGCCTCTGCTTGTGGAGCTGGCATCCCATATGGGCGCCAAGTCATGTCCCGGCTGCTCCTCTTCCAATCCAGTTCTCTGTTTATGGCCTGGGAAGATGGCCCAAGTGTTTGGGCCCCTACACCCACGTGGGAGACCTGGAAGAAGCTCCTGGCTTTGGATCAGACCAGCTCCAGCCATTGCAGCCATTTGGGGAGTGAACCAGTGGATAGGAGACCTTTCTCTCTGTCTCTGCCTCTGCATGTCTGTAACTTTATCAAATAAATAAATGAATCCTTAAGAAAAAAAAATCATGTTGTATACTCACTATAATCAATTGTTTTTCATCAGCTTTCTCTGCTTCTTTTAGTTTCAAGTCCTTTGGAATTGTTATCTCCAAATGAGAATTACACTTAGGCCAAAAATGATTGGGTGGTGTCTCCCTTGAAAAAAAAAAAAAGTTACAGATTCATATTAGTTCAAATAACTGGAGGGAAAAACTAATTTATTTCCTATAGAACACTGACACATTTCAACTTCAAGGAAAAAAATAATAACCTTCTAAAAATTAAGAAGCATAGTAGGGGCTGGTGCTGCAGCTCACTAGGCTAATCCACCGCCTGTGGCACCGGCACATCGGGTTCTAGTCCCGGTCGGGGCACCGGATTCTGTCCCGGTAGCCCCTCTTCCAGGCCAGCTCTCTGCTGTGGCCAGGGAGTGCAGTGGAGGATGGCCCAGGTGCTTGGGCCCTGCACCCAGATGGGAGACCAGGAGAAGCACCTGGCTCCTGCCTTTGGATCAGCGTGGTGCACTGGCCGCAGCACGCAGGCCGCAGCAGCCATTGGAGGGTGAACCAACGGCAAAGGAAGACCTTTCTCTCTGTCTCTCTCACTGTCACTCTGCCTCTCCAAAAAAAAAGAGAGAGGCATAGTAGGCATTTTAGCCCACACCAGACTGCCTGAGTTCAATTCCCAGGTCCAGCTCCTGAGACCCAGTTCCCACCAATGCAGACCCTGGAAAGTAGCCATGATAGCTCAACTGGATTCCTGCCACTCATGTGAGAGACCTGGCTTGCATTCCTGGCTCCTGGTTCCAGTACAGGCCTGGCTATTGAAGGCCAGTGTTGGGGAATGAACAAGCAAAGGGAACTGTCTGTCTCTCAAGTAGATTTTTAAAACATTAAAAATAAAAATATTTTAAATATCAAGGGGAACAATAACCAAGATATAAAATCAACCAAAATGTCCAACAATGGAATAGAACAGAAAATCTGATGAATCTACACAATGGAATACTACTCAGTCATAAAATAAGAAATCATATCATGTGCAATATCGATGAGCCTGGAGGACATTATTTTAAGTAAAACAAGTTAGGCACAGAAAGACAACACTGCATGATCTCATATGGTGAAGTTAAAAAGGTTGATCTCATAGAAATAGAGTAAAATAGCAGTTACCAGAAAAGTTAGGAAAGAGGAGGGATGGAGAGATCATGGTAAATGGGCACAAAGGTACAGATAGGGGCCAGCATTGTGGTGTAGCAGATTAAGCCATTGCCCACAGTGCCAGCATCCCACATGGGTGCCAGTTCCAGTTCCAGCTGCTCCACTTCCAATCCAGCTCCCTGCAAATGCACCTGGGAAGGCAGTGGAAGACGGCCCAAGTACTTGAGCCCCTGCATCCACATGGAAGACCAGGAAGAAGCTCCTGGCTCCTAGCTTCAGCCTAGTCCAGTCCTGGCTGTTACGGCCATTTGGGGAATGAACCAGCAAATCAAAGACCTGTCTCTCCTTCACTCCTTAACTCTACCTTTCAAATAAATAAAATAAATCTTTAACCAAAAAAAAAAAAATACAATGGTGCAGATGGAGAAGAGGAATAACCTGGAGTGTTCTATAGCGCAATTGGGTAACTACAGGGGTACTTCAAAAAGTTCATGGGAAATGGAATTTTGGTGCAAAGAAATTTTAAATTCATTCATATGACTCACAACAACTGTTTCAAAATAACTAATAGGGAGAATTCTGAATATTCCCAATATAAAGGTTAAATATTTAACATGGAGAATATGCCAATTATCTTGATTTGCTCATTATATATTATATATGCATGTTAAGAGATCACCAGAAATATATAAAATTATGTATCAATTAAAAATAACAAAAATCAAGGGGAAAACTACCAATTTTCAATAAATAAAACTTGCATCATCTATTGCAGTCTAAGTATATTCTATGTTCTATAGTGCTAGCCAGCAAAGTCATTCCAGTATATTAGTTTGTTAATAATTCAAAAGGCAAAAATAAGTGACAGTTACTGAATCCTGACATTAAAGAGAATTAAAAAATCATTATCTACTTGAAATAATACTCTTACATGTTAATATTACACAGTATTTACAGGAATGTGGGCAGAGAGGCATTCTCAAACACTTTAGTGGGAGTACAAAAAGGAACAACTACTTTGAAGAGAAATGAAGCAATGCAGCCTATCTTAGCTATGAATCAATCCTACAAATACAGTCACAGAAGTGGGCAAAGATATACATGTTCACTGCAACATGGTTTTTGTGACAGACATAACTAGAAACAACCAAAATACCTATAAAATGGAGAATACAGCAATAACAATCACAAAATGAAATTTAATGTAGAATTTAAAAGAACAAGGTAGGAAAGTAGAAAAGATTCCTCCAGCACTTTAAATAAAAAACAAAAATTATTAAAGAGTATGTATAGGCATAGAAAAAAGTGTAATGAAAGGCGAACAGGTGAGTAAACTGAGGATTACTAGCTTTCCCTTTTTAGGGAAAAATTCCCCAAACTCAAAACTCTGAAGTCTTTTAGCTCCCAAATAAACACCTCCATTAAACTAGTATCTTACCTGTTATCTTTGTTCTTAGATGTTTGGTTATCAAGTATATTGTGCTGTTTGGGAGCTGAACCTGTAATTTAATCAAAAAGATGGGTTTCAATGTTAAGCTTTGGGACTAGCTCTATAGCTAATGGACAAAATCATTATACCAAAAGAAAAAATTCCAATGCATTAAATTCTTTATTTAATAAAGACCATTTGATTGAACTAGAACAAGCATCCTAGAAATTATTCTTCAAAGAAGCAGAAAGGCCATCTCATACTTAGGTTGTGGGGTTGCAAAAAGATCTTGTTACAGTTAACAGTTTACTTCTAATTTCACCAACAATTATTAGCATTAAATAATGAAAACTGTTTCAATGCCTTCAAAATTATAAAATATCTAAATGGAAATAAGTGAAAAATTTCCTTCTTAAAAAAAATTACAATCTCAGGGCCAGCATTGTAGTTTAGTGGGTAAAGCTGCCACCTGAGATGCTGGCATCCCATATGGGTGCCAGTTCCAGTTCTTAGCTGCTCCACTTCCGATTCAGCTCTCTGCTAATGTGCCTGGGAAGGCAGAGAAGGACGGCCCAAGTCCTTGGGCCACTGCCACCCATGTGGGAGACCCAGAAGGAGCTCCTGGCTCCTGACTTCAGACTGGCCCATCTCCGGCCGTTTGGGCCATTTTGGGGAGTAAGCCTGCAGTTGGAAGACCTCTCTTTCTCTCTTATCTCCCTCTCTTTCTCTGTGACTCTACCTTTCAAATAAATAAATCCCCCCCAAAAATTTATGTCTCTGGGAATTTTAATCAGGTGCAATAATAAATCTATTCTTCAACTTCCCCTACTAATGAAAAAGTGGCAGATAATGGAAGCAATTATCTGACTTCAGTATTTTGCTCCAAGTATAGCTTTCTTTAACACAGAGAAACACAAACTAGAGATTTCTGTATCCTCTGGTGCCTCATCTAATATAAGTGACAAAGTCCATAATGTTATAAAGTTGTTGTTGTTGTTTTTTAAATGTACTAATTTATGTGAAAGGCAGAGCTATGGAGAGACAGAGAGAGAATCTTCTGTCTGCTGGTTGATTCCTAAATGGCCACAACAGCCTTAGCTGGGCTGGTCAGAAGCCAAGAGTCTCATCTGGGTCTCCCACATGGGCACAGGGCCCAAGCACCTGCGCCGTCCTCTGCTGCTTTCTCAGGCGCATTAGCAGGAAGATGGATCAGAAGCAGAGTAGCCGGTCTCAAACTGGTGTCCCTATGGTACGCTGGCATCACAGGCAGAGGCTTAACCCACTATGCCACAACAGCACTGTTTTAAAGTTTTTGTAATGGTGTAAGTGGACAATTAATTCAGAGATAGACTCTGTAAGATGAAAAAGTTGAGTGGTAAGAACCCAAAATGATAGACAAACAGTAAAGTATTTGAGATAAGCTGCTACCAGTACTAACTTAAGTAATTCATTAAGGAACATTTTTCCAGAAAGTAAGTCCCAAATAAAAGATGCAAAAAAAAAGAAAGAAAAAGAAAAAGAAAGAAAAGAACTTCTGGTAGTAAGCTCAAAGATAGTACTTAAGTGGGCCGGCTTTGTAGCATTTTGAGTAAAGCTGCCACCTGCAATGCCAGTATCCCATGAGTGTTGTTCAAGTCCCAGCTGCTCCACCTCCAATTCAGATCCCTGCTAATGGCCTGGGAAACCAGAGGAAGATGGCCGTGTTTGGGCCCCAGACACCCACGTGGGATACATGGAAAAAGCTCCTGGCTTGGGCCAGGCCCAGGGCTGGCCTTTGCAGCCATGTGGGAAATGAATCAGTAGATGGAAGATCTATCTACCCCTCTCTCTTTGTAACTCTGACTTTCAAATAAATAAATAATTTCTTAAAAAAAAAAAAAAAGGTAGTACTTAGGTCTTCAAACAAACCAATCAACAGAAGCAGTGCTGAATGATAATCATGACAACCACACATCTGAAACGCATAGCAATGGTTAAGTATTGAACAGGTCTAACAGGTATATAATATAGCTTTCTGTAATAGTGACCAAAAAAAAACCCCAACACTGAAATCCAAATAATTTTTCAAAGCATTACCTGGAAATTTACTCTCTCCTGTATCAATTCTTGCTTGACTGAGCAGAGCTGAAACGGCAGTGGTATTTTCCACTAGATTGTTTTCTAATTTGGATTCCAAACATAAGCTGAAATTCTGAACACATATAATTCAATATTTATATATCAACCTTTGAGTCTTATATATCCTTATACACTTTCATTAAATTCTGGCATACTAAGAAAAATACTTTATATTTGGAGTAATTCACTTTCAAAGCCTCTCCAACACCTTGTCATAAGCTGCCTCCTCAGCTTCAACTCTCATTATTTCTCTTCACACTAAATTCAAAAACTTCCCTCACACTTCTCACAGATATATTCCATAGCTGCCTGGCTCTACCTTTTCTCAGTTTTATCTGCACAGGAGTGGGGAAACTTTTTAGTGCCAAGAGCTATTTGGATATTTATAGTATCAGTCATAGGCCATACAAAATTATCAACTTAAATATTAGCGTGTTACAGATTTACTAAATGTTGAGTCCTGCCCACAGTTGCCTTGGCAAGGCCAAATCAAATGATTTCATCAGCCCTATGCAGCCTGCACATTCTCCACACCTGAACTAGATTGTACTGTCCAATATAGCAATCACCACCACATCTGAATACTGAGCACATGAAATGTACTCAGCATTATCTGAGGTGTGTGGTAAGCATAAATCACGAGCCAGAGTTTGGAAATTTAAACATACACACAAAAAGAACAATGTATGTTGAAATTAGTTACTTTGTGACAGATTAAATATATTAAACTTTGTTTATTTTTGCTTCATTAATATGGCTACCAGACAACTAAAAATTATATATGCAGCTCACATTGTAGTTCTTTTTAAAAAATTTATTTATTTATTTGAACGGCAGAGTTACAGAGAGGGAGGGAGAGACAGAAAGAGAGCTTCCATCCATTAGTTCACTCCACAGACGGTTGTAACAGCCAGGGCTGGGCCAGGTGAAAGCCAGGAGCCAGGAACTCTACCAGTATCTCTCACTTGGGCCATTTTCTACTGCCTTCCCAGACACATGAGTAGGGTGCTGGATCATAACTGGAGCAGCCAGGACTTGAGCTGATGACCATACTGGATGTCAGCATCACAGACAGTGGCTTACCTCATTATACCACAACACTGGCCTCATATTTTTACTGGTTGGTGCTGACCTAGAATATATTACATCCCGTATAAATTAATTACACAAAACCAACAGTACTTCAAAAGTTCATGGAAAATGGAATCAAAAGATAAGTTTTTATTGCACTAAAATTTGGACATTTTTGCATAATTTTTACATAATACAGATTTGCCATGAACTTTCTGAAGACCCTACATATGCTTGGATTTTTAATTTTTTTAACATTTATTTTATTTGAAAGGCAGATAGACAGACAGCTCTTCCACCTGCTGGTTTTATTCCCCAAATGGTCACAACAGTCAATTCTGAGCCAGGCCAGAGCCCAAAGCAAGGAATTCCATCTGGTCTCCCACACGGATGGCAGGCCCAATTACTTGGGCCATCTTCTGCTGCCTTCCCAGGCACATAGCAGGGAGCTAGATGGGAAGCAGAGCAGCTAGGGATCAAACCAGCACTCTGATATGGGGTGTCTGCATTTCAAATGGTTGTTTAATCACAGTGCCAGTCACAAAACATATATTTTTTAAAGGAGGAAATCATGATTGGTAACCCTAAAACTTTGCCTTGGACACAGGAGGGATGCAAATATGCACTGAATTGATCCCATCACAACCATATTTCCTAATCACTGTGACAGTGAGTACATTTTTTAAAAAGATTTATTTATTTGAAAGACAGTGTTAGAGAAGAGAGGTAGAAACAGAGAGAGAGGTCTTCCATCCGAAGGTTCACTCCCCAGATGGCCGCAATGGCTGGAGCTGCACCGAACTGAAGCCAGGAGCCAGGAGCTTCTTCCAGGTCTCCCATGTGGGTGCAGGGGCCCAAGGACTTGGGCCATCTTCTACTGCTTTCTCAGGCCATAACAGAGAGCTGGATCAGAACAGCAGCAGCCGGGACATGAACCAGCGCCCATATGGGATGCTGGCGCTTCAGACCAGGGCTTTAACCTGCTGCACCACAGCGTCAGCCCCAGTGAGTACATTTTTGATACTAGTGAAAAAAAATGGCAAAAATAAAAAAGTCATTTAATAGAGAAAAACATAAATTTGTAACGTATTTTTGTACATCTATTAAGATACCTATGTATCAATAAGTACTAAGTACACTGACTGCACAAAATCAAGTTGCAAAAAAAAACTTCAGTAGTAGGCTTTCTGGGGGCAGGTTGGACATGGCTTGGGATCCCAGTATCTCACACCAGAGTGCCTCATTTGAGTCTCAGCTAATCTACTTCCAATCCAGCTTCCTGCTAATGTGCATCCTGGGAACAGGAAATGACAAATGCTCAAGTACTTGAGTCCCTCACCCACATGGGAGTTCCAGGATCCTGGCTTCAGTGTGGTCCAGCCCTGCCTGTTGTAGGCATTTGGGGAGTGAACCAAATGGAAGATCTCTCACTCTCTCCCAAATAAACAAACATTAAACATTTTTAGACATATAAAAATGTTAACATTAACGTAAAAATTTCAAATATAAACAATGCTAATTGCTAACTAAGTACCTCTTATGGAATAGACACAAATCCATGAAATCATAAACGTGGGTATAAGCACTTCGGACATCTTCACCCCAGAATCAGAGTGCCTGGGATGGAATCCCGGCTCCACTTCAGATTCCAGCTTCCTGCAAATGTACATTCTAGAAGGCAGTAGGTGATGACTCTAGTACTGGGTACCTGCCACCCACCTAGAAGGTCTGGACTGAAGTTTGGGCTCCTGGTTTTGTCCTTGCCTCGCCCTGACTATTACAGGCATTTGGAAAATAAACCAGTGAAATGAAAGGTCACTCTCTGTTTTTCTCTCTCTGACCTTCAAATAATGTACTTTTCTTATTTATTATTTATTTTTATCCATATGAAAGCCCGAGTTAGAGAAAGAGGGAGAGACAGACAGAAAGATCTTCTGGGGGCAAGGACTGTAGCACAGCAGGTAAAGCTGTGGCGTAGCGGGTAAAGCCTCCACCTGCACTGCCAGCATCCCATGTGGGTGCTGGTTCAAGTTCTGGTTGCTCCACTTCCTATCCAGCTCTCTGCTATGGGTTGGGAAAGCAGCAAAAGATGGCCCAAGCTCTTGGGCCTCTGCACCCACATGGGAGACCCAGAGCAGGCTCCTGGCTTCGGATTGGGGGAAGAGGGACAGAGAAAGAGAAAGGGGGAGGGAGGGGAGAAAGAAAGATCTTCCATCCTTTGGTTAACTCCCCAAATGGCCACAGTAAGGGCAGAACCAGGGCTTAGCCAGGAGCCAGAAACTTCATCAGGGTGTCCCACGTGGGTGTGGGGCCTAAGGACTTGAACCATCTTCTGTTGCTTTTCCAGGTGTATTAGCAGGGAGCTGGATTGGAAGTGCAACAGCCGGGACTTGAACTGGTGCCCATATGGGATGCTGGCATCACAAGTGGAGGTTTAACCTGTTATGCCACAATACTGGTTCCCGGTTTCTTAAAGAACCTGAAGTAATTCAAGAAAATGTTAATTTTTGTTAAGTCTAGCTACATAAGGTAATGTTAATCTCAGCTATATTCTCAACGTCTGAAATAGTTAAGAAATCCAAAACATTAAAGCTTTAACACAGAAGTTAAATTTCATCTGTTTCTTACAATATGTTCTGAAACAGAATGACTGGAGCTGGGCATTGTGGCATAGCAGGGAAAGCCACCGCCTGTAACACCAGCATCCCATACGGATGCCAGTTCTTGTACCAGCTGCTCTACTTCAGATCCAGCTCCCTGTGAATGGCCTGAGAAAGCAGCAGAAGATGGCCCAACTACTTGGGCCTCTGTCACTCAGGTGGGAGACCCAGAAGAAGCTCCTGGCTTTGGCCTGGCCAAACCCTAGCTGTTGTGACCATCTGGAGTGTGAACCAGTAGACAGAAGGTAGCTCTCTTTCAAACAAATGAATCTTACAAAAAAAAAAAAAAAAAAAAAGGGACTGTGTAAATCCCAAGTACTTTTCAGTACACACAATGTTACATAAGGTGAAAATAATGTGATCTAAGTAAACATCTCTATTCTAGTACAGTTTTATCTAAAAAAATTAGATTTCTTAGCTTTCAATTTATTCTTCATAAACTGCCTTCTTAGTTTTGATAGGCATTTATGGAGCAAGGAGCTAAAAGATACACTGTCTAGCTATACCTGAAGACACAGTTCTGACTAGAAAACCACTTCATCTCTACAAGAAGTCACAACTTACTCTCATACTACTACTCACTATTTTAGTGTTTCTAATTATAACCTCTATTTAGTAAAATCTTTCTGAATAATCACCTTGTAATTGATGACTTCATTCCCATTCATATAGAAAATAAAATCTAAGAGTACTACAATATATTTTCACTTTAAGTTCACTATGATTTTTCAGCCCAGAAGAATAGACACTGCTCTGTTTTCATGGTTTCTGGCATATAGCCCAGACTCCAAACTCACTCAAATTTGCTCCTAGACCAATGTCTCCAAAGAAAACTCAAAATCACTCTCAAAATTTAGGGTAACTTGACTTCTTTCTGTATTCATGACTTTTCTGTTCAAATAATTACCTAACATTCAGAGTACGTTTTTGTAGAAAAGAATGCTGAACAGTTAATTAGAACACCTAGATTCTAAACTTACTTGCACCACCCTAGGTGCGACCTAAATCATATTCTACTTTCAGTATTCTATTTAAAATTCAGTAATTAATATAAATTAATGAGTTTTAAAAATCTGTATTACAGAGCTGCGGGGTTCTACACACATAAAATTTCTTACTGGCTTTATATACTGGTGTTCTATATATAATTCACTTTAGAAAGAAAAAGGCTCAGCCATTTTCATAGAATTTGAAACTATTTTCTCAGATATTCATAAGTTTCTTATAGATAACTTTCTGGTTATTAATTTATTTTGTCTAATGTAAAAATTCTTGGCCTCTACAATTGTATTCTGTGATTTAAGACTAAGTTATTTATACCTCTCAGAAATTTTACCTGCCAAGTATCCAAAATGGCCATACAGATCAAATCAAAAAAGCATCCCTTTAAGGATATTTAACTTTGGGGCTGGCATTGCTGCACAGTGAGTTAAGCTACAATGTCAACATCTCATATACGCACCAGTTCAAGTACTGGCTGCTCCACTTTCCATCCAGTTCCTTGCTAATGCACCTGGGAAAGCATGGGAAGATGGCCCAAGAGCTTGGAGCCCTGCCATCACCATCACCCAGGAGACCCAGCTGAAGCTCCTGGCTCCAGGCTGGCCCAGCAGGCCAATGTGGCCATTTGAAGAGTGAACCAGCAGATAGAAAATCTCTGTCTCTCTTTCCTCTAAGAATGTATTTCAAATAAATAAATAAATCTTTTAATGATTTTAACTTGAAAATATTATCAAGTGGATAAAACACTGTCACATGCCAAATTAATTTACACATCTTAGTCAGAATGGGGACCAAATTTTAAGTTCTAGACTTTGGCCACTAAGAAATACATTTTCTGTGGCTATCAGTAGAAAAAGGAAACACATAATTATGTTAAATTTAAAAGAGAAGCTGTAGTTCCAAGGCTTATCCTCTACATAAAATAAAAATGCAGGGTGAGCATCATGGCATAGCAGCTAAAATCGCTGCTTGGGATGCCTAACTTCTACACTGGAATGCTGGTTCAAAGTTACAGCTACACTGCTTCCAATCCAACTTCCTGCTAGTGTGACTGGGAAAGCACCAAATGATGCTCCCTGACACTGCCATGGTACTCTCAGATGGAGCTCTGGTTCCTGACTGACCTGCAAGTCCTGGCTGTTTCAGCCATCTGGGGAGTGAATCAGAGGATGGAAGATGCCTCTTTTTTTTTTGTTTGTTTGTTTTGACAGGCAGAGTGGACAGTGAGAGAGAGAGACAGAGAGAGAAAGGTCTTCCTTTGCCGTTGGATCACCCTCCAATGGCCGCCGCTGCAGCCGGCGCACCGCGCTGATCCGATGGCAGGAGCCAGGAGCCAGGTGCTTCTCCTGGTCTCCTATGGGGTGCAGGGCCCAAGCACCTGGGCCATCCTCCACTGCACTCCCTGGCCATAGCAGAGAGCTGGCCTGGAAGAGGGGCAACCGGGACAGAATCTGGTGCCCCAACCGGGACTAGAACCCGGTGTGCCGGCGCCGCAAGGTGGAGGATTAGCCTATTGAGCCACGGCGCCGGCTGGAAGATGCCTCTTGATCACTCCATCTTTCTCCCCCTTCCTCCCTCCATTCCTCCTTCTTTCTCCTCTCCTCCTCCCCCACCACCAGGTCCCTCTCCCTGTTTCCACCACTCTACCTTTCAAACAAATTTTAAAAAATTAACAAAATGAAGGATGAAAATGTGGAAACAATAAGTATCCATGTAAGGGTGAGCTGTCCAAAGGAATCACCCATCACCGCAAGACTGGATTAACAAAACTTACAATTTAATAGGATATCTTAATTAATAACTCTTCAATCTTTCATTAATCCTTAAGCTAAAATATGTTATAAACACTTTTTCTTATTAAAAATACTCAAGCACCTCTACTGTGCATAATGAAAACGGATTATTAAAAATCAGTAGCCTTTGTATACAGACAATGCCACAGCTGACAAAGAATTTCTAAGATCAATCTCATTCAAAATAGCTACAAAAAAAATCAAATACCTTGGAATAAATTTAATTAAGGATGTCAAAGACCTCTACAATGAGAATTACAAAACATTAAAGAAAGAAATAGAAGAAAACACACAAAAAAATGGAAACTCTTCCACATTCATGGACTGGAAGAATCAATATCATCAAAATGTCCATACTTCTGAAAGCAATTTACAGATTCAATGCAATACCAATCAAAATACCAAAGATATCCTTCTCAGATACAGAAATAATGATGTTCAAATTTATATGGAAACACAAGAGACCCTGAATAGCTAAAACAATCTTATACACCAGAAACAAAGCTAGAGGCATCACAATACCAGATTTCAAGACTTACTAAAGGGCAGTTATAATCAAAACAGCCTGGTACTGGCACAAAAACAGATGGTCAGATCAATAGAACAGAAATGCCAAAAATCAACCCCACACATCTACAACCAACTTATCTTTGACAAAGGAGCTAAAACCAATCCCTGGAGCAAGGATAGTCTCTTCAACAATTGCTGCTGTAAAAACTGGATTTCCACATGCAGAAGCAAAAGGCAAGACTCCTATCTTGCACCTTACACAAAAATCCACTCAAAATGGATTAAAGACCTAAATCTATAACTCAATTCCATCAAATTATTAGAGAACATTAGGAAACCATGCAAGACACTGGCTGGGCAAGGAGCTCTTGGAAAAGACCCCAGAAGCACAGGCAAACAAAGCCAAAATTGACAAATGGGATTACATCAAATTGAGAAGCTTCAGCACTGCAAAATAAACACTCAGCAAAGTAAAAAGGCAACCAACAGAATGGGAGAGAGTATCTGCAAATTATACAACTGATAAAGGATTAATAACCAGAATATATAAAGAGATCAAGAAACTCCACAACAACAAAACACCTAGTGAAGAAATGGGCAAAGGACTTATACAGGCACTTTGCACAAGAGGAAATCCAAATGGCCAACAGACACATGAAAAAATGCTCAAGACCACTAGCCATCAGGGAAATGCAAATCAAAACCACAATGAGGTTTCACCTCATGCCCATCAGAATGGCTTTCATACAGAAATCAACAAATGCTGGCAAGGATGTGGGGAAAAAGGTACCCAATCCACTTCTGGTGGGAATGTAAAGTGGTGCAGCCACTGTGGAAGAGAGTATGGAGATACCTCAGAAATCTTAACATAACCTACCACATGACCCAGCCATCCCACTCCTGGGAATCTACGCAAGGGAGATAAAATCAGCATATCAAAGAGTTATCTGTACCTCCATGTGTAATTCGACTCAATTCACGATAGCTAAGATATAGAATGCCAAATGCCCATCAACTGAAGACTGGATAAAGAAATTATGGGATATGTACACCATGGACTACTATGCAGTGGAAAAAACAAAAACATGAAATCTTGTCATTTGCAACAAAATGGATGAAACTGGACATCATCATACTTTGTGAAGTATTTATTCAAAAGGATAAATACCATATGTTCTCCCTGATCTGTGATAACTAACAGAGCACCAAAAAGGTAATCTACACAAGTGAAGTTAACACTTCAAGATGCAATGACTTTGAACAGCCCTTGTCTCCACTGTTGAGGAACAGTTTTATTTTTTTTTTTTCATACAGTTTGTGGAACTCTTTACTTACTCTAATCATACATGTATAAAGTTAATTGAAAATAGATCTTAGTAAAAAATAAGAATGGGAACAGGAGAGGGGAGGAGGAAGAGGGATGGAAGTGTAGGTGGGAGAGAGGGTATGGTGGGAAGAATCACTATATTCCTAAAATTATATTTATAAAATATAGTTATATATAAAAAAAGAAAGAAAAAAATGGATTACCTTATTTGGTGTGGATTCAAAGCAATGTTTCATCTGATTCTCCAATGGTGGGTCAGAAGATTTTATCTGATTATCCAAATGACAGTTTTTGGGAGCCCTTTTTACAGCCTTAATTTCAACTGTAATGTCATTTACTTTAACTTCTTCAGAATTAATTTCTTCCATTTTGTTCTGCTGGCCAGCTATATTTTTATCATGTGTTTTTGTCCCTAAAAATGTACTGTGAGTCACTGAATGATGGATTTCTAAAGATGGTGGTGAAAAACTGGCTTGTAATAAGCCCAATTTAGGGGATACTTGAGTGTCTGACTTATTCTGTTGCACAGAGTTGAATTTTGAGAGTTTAATTTTAGTCCAGTTAGAGTTCTTCTTAGTTGAGCTACTCATTCCATTTAGTATACATTTCACAGGCTTTGTTTTTCTACTGGGAAAAAAACGATTACACGGCACATCCTGATTGGTTTCTTTCTGATGAAGTATTTGTCGTTCAACATTGGTCTCTTCCAATTTTATTTCTGTAGGCATCTCCTTTACATTTTCCATTTGTGAAGATTCTTTTTTTACCTCTACAGTATCTGACTCTATTTCTCCAGCAATTTCTTCACAAAGCTGGAGAATGCTACCTCGTTTGCTCTTTCCTGCTTGCTCCAATTCATTATCTATACTTTGTTCAGGCACTGATGGCTGTGGACTTTTTTGGGATTTTGCATTAGTATTCACTTGTGTATGAACTGACTTCATCTCATTCTTTTTAGAGATCTCTGAAGTAGCCACTTTTGATCTTTTTATCTCAGAAGAAGTTACAGGCACACATTTTGTTTCTTCTTTTCTAGTCATCTTCTGAAGACACTTTTCAGATCCTTGGATGCACTGAGAGCTACAAGTACAAGCGATCTGCTGCTCTACTCTGCGTTTTTTTCCTTTGGGGGAATTTATTACTTCATTAATCACTGAATTTCCATCCTCTTTAGAGTCAGACTTTCTTTCCAATACTTTTCTTTTCACATGTTTTTGACTTGTTTTGACTTTACTAGGTTTACTTTGAGTACTATTACAGTGCTCTTTTCTTGTTAGTAGCACACTCTGTTTAACGGCTTGAACTTGACCCTGAATTTCTCTACTGCGCAAAGACCTTGTTGAAACCTCTGATAACTGTTGTAGTCTTTGTGACCTCCTGTTAAGCTGTTCACTTGTTTTAGAGGTTTCACGCACTAATTTTCTCTGAGATAATTTACTCTTTTCAGAAGATTCTTGTTGTGAATGTCCCTTCACAGTCATCACATTTTTATTATTGGATATGGTAGTTTTTATGTCACTGGATGCTGCTTTTGCTGATCTTGTACTCATGCGTGTTCCCAATTCAGGCTGATTTATTTTATTTTCACTGCAAGACTTAACCTGCGATTTTAAAGTTTCCTTCGAACCTGATTTTTTTGCTAGATCCTTTTGAGAATCTTGACTTACTATTTCCAAATTCTTATCTTCACTTTTTTTAATAACTTTAGAGGAACTTTCTTTTGATTTCTCCTGAATGGACATCTTCCTGAGTAATGTCTTCCTTTACTAAATAGTTTTTGAGAGGATTTTCGTGCTCAACAAGCTGGTATTGTTACTGAGGAACGGGTCTTAAAAAATCAACTTTAACTGAAGCTGATACACATTTCAAGAAAAATACCACTCTGTTTCAAGTAAGGTTTCTGTCATTCCCAGAACATGAGAAAAGCTGGCATAAAAGCTGAAAAATATTTGCTTTAGACAATGCGATAGAAATTTAAGGAAAATTTAATTCTAATTTGATATTCTTCATGAAAAATTTAATTCATATGCATTCTGTTCTGTAATTTTTAAAATGAATTTTGGTTTAGGCCTAGCCCTATTACTGGAGGAGTTATTTATCACTGACCCGTTTTGATAAAATTTTTGAACACTTTTTTCTTCTGAAGTCTACAGTTATTGGACTTCGATTCACTTGAAACATGTCTTATGGCTAACACGTGTCTTTCCTTGTTTGTTGAGTCTATTGCTGTGCAGTTTTTATGTAACTTCCTTCGCTTAATAAAACAATCTATTAATACAGATTGTCTTTTGTGTTGCCATTTCTGAAAAATTAAAAAACAAAATTAAATCCTGTACAATTAATGAAAGATGGCAATGCTAGTACTTTATAGAACTCATTTGAATAAAATGTAACTTGTCCTTTTGAACTATTTATTCTGTACACTTAAAACTAACAGAAAAAGCATTCTAAGTACATTCCCAAAAATAACCAATAATTCATGTTATACAAGGATAGAATAGGTGAAAATCAATTTTTTACTTACACTTCTTTTCCCACAAGATACAACTGATATTTCAGCCACCATAACTCATGAAAACTTGGCAAAATCATTCCTTATAATCTGCTTTTAACACATTACACAGCACCTAAAAGAAAAAGTTTTTAAATGCTTAAAAGGACTAAGAAAGGATATAATCACATTATTCACTTCTCATCAAATACAACATGAATAATTATACCCCATCCTACCATTAGTCATTATTTCTTCAGAGCTCACATAGCATTTTAATATTTGTAACTTGAAGTAAACCATCATACATGCACCAAATGAAATAGCAGGTATCCATCTATGTTGTAGAAAAATTGTGAAAATACAAAACACCATTCATAACATGAGCATAAAATTCGTTGAACTGGTAAAGTCCTATTTGGAGAAAGAAACAGAGCACATCTATACCTAAAAAAACCTGACAAATAGTGAAAGGTGGTCAACTTAAACACATTTTTCTCTGTTCCTATGCAAACCCTGTCAAAAAAAGAAAAAGTAGGTGCCGACACTGTGGCATAGAATTTTCAAATAAATAAATAAATATTAAAAAAAGAAGACTGAAACGGCAGTATAATTTAGTTTCAACACAGCAACTGACAGACTCCACAGACACAGGCTCCAAAAATAGGCCCTTACATATGTGGGAATTTAGTACATATAAAAGTGGTATTAATTTCATTAATCTCAATTTAATGAAAATCACTCAACAATTGGGATTAGGACAACTGGATAACTATCTAGGTAACTGATCTTTGATTTGCGAGTAAAACTGTGTCCATAAAAAATTTGACCATAAAAATAAAAAAAAAAGGTTAAAGCATGGAAGAATTTTAGTATTTATTTTCAGAGTGGGAAAGGCCTTTCAAGGCTTGTCACAAAATACAGAAACACGAAAAAACATAATAGGCCAGTGTGTTAACAAAATAACATAAGTTAGAACAAAAAAGTACCAATCAGACTGGCCACAGATTAACAAGTTTAACAGTAGTCTTGGCAAACTTTATGTCAGGTACTCTCATATTATTGCAGGTGATACAATGTCTACTTAGAACAATTTGGAAATATCTATCAAAATAATAAACGCAAAATGTCAAATAATTCCATATGCCAGACTTTATACTGCCTGTAGAAATGCTTCAAGGTACATGAAACCACAAAATTCACTGTGATACCGTATCAGAAAAGACTGAATACCCCTCAACAAACAACCAGGACTACAATACTGTCTATAAAACTGAGGATACATTCAATCATACAACAGATGAGCAGGCAATCATGTCAAAGCAGGATGAGATTTAATTCCAAGGAAAATTTCTCCAAGCTTTTCTTTTCTTTTCTTTTTTTTTTTTTGAAGATTTATTTGCTTATTTATTTGACAGGCAGAGATACAGAGAAAGAAAGAGCGAGCGAGCAAGAGAGCGAGCGAGCACTATCTTCCATCTGGTATTCATTCCCCAAATGCTGGCAATGGCTGAAGCTGGGGTGATCCAAATCTAGGAACTACGAGATTCTTCAGGATCCATCTTGAGTCATCTTCCACTGCCTTGCCAAGGCACATGAATAGGGAGCTGGATTATAAGTCGAGCAGCCAGGACTTGAACCAGTGCCCACCTGTGATGCCGGCCCCACAGGCTTTGCCACAGTGCCAGCCCCTCACCAGGCTTATTATTCAGAAGCCTGATTTTAAAAAATTGCTGCAGAAATATGAACTATAAAAAAGGTTTGGCTTTTTCAAATAAATAAACTTTAAAAAAAAAGATTTATTTATTTTAACAAGTTCTCTGTATGGCCTAGGAAAGCAGTAGAAGACGGCATAAGTCCTTGGGCCCCTGCACCCACGTGGGAGACCTGGAATAAGCTCCTGGCTCCTGGCTTCAGATTGGTGCAGCTCCAGCCATTGCGGCCAATTAGGGAGTGAACCAGTGGATAGATGCCTCTCTCTCTCTCTCTCTCTCTTGTTCTCTATGTAACTGTGACTTTCAAATAAAATAACTCCATAAAAAAAGTTAAATAAAAAAAGAATGAAAGGGGAGATGATTTTTGGGCATGACAGAAATGTTTTTTATCTTGATTGTGGTAGTGATTCCATGAGTGTCCAAACCTTTCAAAACCCACCATACTATAAGTTTAAGAGAGGATGATTTATTGTACATAAATCATCTCAATGAGGCATCCAGATAGGGGCCTGTGTGAGGCCTCCTCAAGTCCTACATGCCAAGGTGACCATGGAATGTGTTTTGAAACTGGGACACTTTTGATAGTAGAGTGTGCTATTTATTAGTACTTACAGAGAGAAAACAAGTGAAAGGTGGCAATATCTCCTGCAAATTAGGAGGTGTAAGCACCTTATACATATCCCCAACATGATGTGGGACAGCATATAAAACACTTCTACAGCAGTGTCCCTGCCATCAAAAATCATGCAGGAATGGCTCAGGAAGCCAGCAGCCTCGAAAGCTGGGGTGTAGACAAAAGGGAGGTGAAGTGCACTGATGCGAAGAAGGAAGCCTCATCTCAAGAGGACTGGCAAGCAGCCCTGACACACAGGCTTAGATGTTCCAAGGATGTCATGGAGAACATTCTCCCATACAAAATAAAATAAAGCTATATATATATATATGTGTGTGTGTATGTTTGTGTGTGTATATAAAATGGACCTATGGCCCAGAATCATTAAACCATAAAAGCAAGGCATGTAACAGAACAGAGTGCACAGCATGCTCCTCTCTGTGTCAAAAGAAAAGGGTGCGCTGGTGCCGCGGCTCACTTGGCTAATCCTCCACCTGCGGTGCCGGCACCCCAGGTTCTAGTCCTGGTTGGGGCGCCAGATTCTGTCCTGGTTGCCCCTCTTCCAGTCCAGCTCTCTGCTGTGGCCCGGGAAGTGGAGGATGGCCCAAGTGCTTGGGCCCTGCACCCGCATGGGAGACCAGGAGGAAGCACCTGGCTCCTGGCTTCAGATCGGCGCAGCACGCCAGCAGTGGCAGCCATTTGAGGGTGAACCAATGGAAAAAGGAAGACCTTTCTCTCTGTCTCTCTCTCTCATTGTCTAACTCTGCCTGTCAAAAAAAGGATGGATGGACGGACGGAAGGAAGAAAAGGGCGGGGGCCTGTGTTGTGGCATAGCTGGTAAAGTCACAGCCTGTGACTCTGGCATCCTATGTGGGTGCCTGTTTGTGTCCCAGCTGCTCCACTTCTGATCCAGTTCCTTGCTGACGACCTGGGGAAAGCAGCAGAAGACAACCAAGTGGGAGATCCAGATGAAGCTCCTGGCTTCTGGCTTCAACCTGACCCAGTACTGGCCATTGCAACCATCTAGGAAGTGAACCAGTGGATGGAAGATCTTTCTTTTTCTCCCTCTAACTTGTTAAAATAAATAAATCTTTTTTTTTTAAAGTTTATTTATTTGAAAGTCACAGTTACAGAGAGGAGAGGTAGAGAGAGAAAGAGAAAGAGAGAGAGAGACAGAGAGAGGTCTTCCATCCGATGGTTCACTCCCCAATTGGCCACAACAGCCGGAGCTGTGCCAATCCGAAGCCAGGAGCTTCCTCTGGGTCTCCCACATGGGGGGGTGCAGGGGCCCAAGGACTTGGGCCATCTTCTACTGCTTTCCCAGGCCATAGCAAGAGAGCTGGATCGGAAGTGGAGCAGCCAGGACTCGAACCGGCGCCCATATGGCATGCCGGTGCTTCAGGCCAGGGCATTAACCCACTAAGCCACAGCACCAGCCCCTCAAATAAATCTTAAAGAAAAAAATAACAGAAAAGGGAGCTGGAGGAAGGACAGAACCATATGCTGGCTTATGTACACAATGAGTCTGGAAGGAGAAGAAAGCACCAATAATGGTGATTTGTGGGGAAAACTACTATGGGACCAAGTCGCAGGACCATGAGAAAAGCTTACTTTTTCACACTATACCCATTTAAATCTTTTGTTATATAGACATATAACTTCATCAAAAAATTAAAAATATGGGGGTAGGTGTTATGGTGCAGCTATAATAGGGACAGGTTCGAGTTCTACTACTGCATTTTTTTTTTTTTTAAAGATTTTATTGGCCGGCGCCGCGGCTCACTAGGCTAATCCTCCGCCTAGCGGCACCGGCACACCGGGTTCTAGTCCCGGTTGGGGCACCGGATTCTGTCCCGGTTGCCCCTCTTCCAGGCCAGCTCTCTGCTGTGGCCAGGGAGTGCAGTGGAGGATGGCCCAGGTGCTTGGGCCCTGCACCCCATGGGAGACCAGGAAAAGCACCTGGCTCCTGGCTCCTGCCATCGGATCAGCGCGGTGCGCCGGCAGCAGCGCGCCGGCCGCGGCGGCCATTGGAGAGTGAATCAACGGCAAAGGAAGACCTTTCTCTCTGTCTCTCTCTCTCACTGTCCACTCTGCCTGTCAAAAAAATAAAAAAAAATTAAAAAAAATAAAAAGATTTTATTTATTTGAGAGGGAGAGACAGAAGAGTCTTTCATCCACTGGTTCACTCCCCAAATGGATGCAACAGCCACAGCTGGGTCAAACTGAAGCCAGCACCAGGAGCTTCTTCCAGGTCTCCCACACAGATGCAGGGGCCCAAGCACTTGGGCCATCTTCCACTGCTTTCCCAGGCCAAAGCAGAAAGCTGGATCAGAAGAGAAGCAGCCGGCACTAGAACCGGCACACATATGGGATGCCAGCACCACAGGCTGAGGCTCAGCCTCTTATACCACAGCATCAGCCCCTACCACTACTCCATTTCTGATCCAGCTCCCTGCTAATGTGCCATGGAAGAAACAGATAATGGCTTAAGTGCTTGAATCCCTGCCTCCCATGTGGGAGACCTGGATGAAATTCCTGGCTCCTGCCTTCAGCATGGCCCAGTCATGACTGTTCTGGTCATTTAGGGAGTAAACCAGCAGATTGAAGTTATCTTTCTGTCTCTCCCTGTCAACTCTGCCTTTCAAATAAATAAAAATGTTACATTTCCCTGAAAATATAAAATACATTTGATACACTGACTAATCACCTTGGAAGACATTAAATTATAAAAGTATAAACCACTTACCTTAGTGACATGGAAATCACCTTTTTAAGTTGATTGATGACTCTTCTAATGAATGAATGCTTCTTATTACTTCCTGTATGGGATTTAATTAAAAAAAATCTATAGCTAAAGTAAAACAAGCTATTAAAAAATAAGCATACAAATATAGTGTTATTGTAGCAGGTGTTTTGGCTCTGCTGGTGGTATTCCTGTAAATCCTAACCAAGTGCCTATGCCTAGTTCAAGTCTCAGATATTCTGCACTTCTGATCCAGCTTCTTACTAATGTGTTTGGGGGGCAGCAGATCATGGCCCAAGTACTTGGGCCTCTGCCACCCACATGGGAGACTGGATGGAGTTCTTGGCTCTTGCCTTCAACCTGGCCCAATCCCAGCTACTGTGATTATTTGAGAAGTGTACCAGAAGATGGAAGATCTCTGTCATTCTGCCTTTCAAAGGAACAATCTCTTTTTAAAAAGTTCATGGAAATGGAAAAGATAAAATTTTTGACCAAAATAAATTTAAAATTCCTACATACTTTCTGAATACTATGAATTTCTGTTAAACTTTTGAAGACTTCTCATATTATACAACTATCTACCTGTCTGCCCAAATCAAGAAAATAAAAAAATGTTCAAAATGATAGCAACAAGGACAAGAGCAGCATTTATACTAGCAAAAACATCCAAAACAGTTCAAATGCCCCAAAAAGATATTTAAAAAGTGCCAAGAAATGTTGATAGGCATTAGAAATAACAGATATGTAAACTGCATAAACATATATTATGTATTTAACATGTAGATGTATAAAACACACAAAGTACACTGAAAGAGTGCATTATAAAACACTGGCAATAGTTACCTCTACAGAGGTAAAATATAGAATTAAAAGGTATAAAGGAGTACCTTCACATTTTACTTTATTTCTGTATTGTTTGAAAGCTTTCACATCAAAAATGAATATACATAGTTATAAATTAAAAAGGAGACATATAAGGGGTCTTGAGAAAGTTTACAGAAAATATGTTTTATGAAAACTATACAGGTAGGCATTTCAGCCTACCAGTTAAGCCACTGGTTGGGACATCCACACTACATCAGAGTGCCTGGAATCACATCTTGGCCCTTCTCCCAACACCAGCTTCTGGCTAATGCACACCCTGGGAGCAGCAACTGATGGCTCTTTTGGGTTCCCGCCACTTAGGAGACCTAGATTCGGTTTCTGGCTCTTGGCATTAGCCTGGCCCACTCCCAGCCATTGAAGGCATTTGGAGAGTTAAACAGCAGATGGAAGCTGCCTCTCCCAAATAAATAAAAGACTTTTTTTGAATTATGCATGAATTTAAAATTTTTCCTATCAAAATAAACTTTTAGCTTTCATTTTCTATGAATGCTTTATTTAATTATTTAAAAGGCAGAGTATCAGGGATGGCGCTGTGGCACATCAGGTTAAAGCCACAGCCTTGGGCACCAGCATTCCATATGGGCACCAGTTCAAGTCCCAGCTGCTCCACTTCTGATCCAGCTCCTTGCTAATGCACCTGGGAAAGCAGTGGAAGATGGTCCAAGTGCTTGGGCCCCTGCACACACGTGGGAGACCTGGAGGAGGCTTCTAGCTCCTTGTTTCAGCATGACCCAGCCCAGTTGTTGTGGCCATTTGGGGAGTGAACCCGCAGATGGAAGATCTCTGTCTCCACCTCTGCTCCTCCACTTCTCACTCCATACGCTTTTTTTTTCCTAAGATTTATTTATTTGAAAAAGTTAGAGAGAGAAGGAGAGGCAGAGAGAGAAAGAGGGAGAGAGAGGTCTTCCATCCGCTAGTTCACTCCCCAACTGGCCGCAATGGCTGGAGCTGCACCAATTTGGAGCCAGGAATTCCTTCTGGGTCTCCCACGTGGGTGCAAGGGCCCAAGGACTTGGGCCATCCTCACTGTTTTCCCAGGCCATAGCAGAGAGCTGGATTGGAAGGGAAGCAGCCGGGTCTCGAACTGGCAGCCATATGGGATGCTGGCACTGCAAGGCGGTGGCTTTACCCGCTACGCCACAGCACCAGCCCCACTCCATAGGTTTTTTACAGGCGTATTATCAGGGAGCTGGATCAGAAGTGGAGCATCTGGGACTTGAACCAGTGCCCATATGGAATATCAGTGCTACGGGCCAGGGCTTTAACCTGATGTGCTACAACGCTGGCCCTCAAATAAATAAATTTTCAAAAAAAATTAAAAAGGTAGAATAGCAGAAAGAGTCAGACATACACATACACACACACACACACACACACACACACACGAGTGGGCAGGAAAAAGAAAGAGGGAGAAAGAAAGAATGTTCCATCCACTAATTCACTCCCCCAAATGGCAGCAACAGCAAAGTCTGAGCCAGGATGAAGTCAGGAGACAGAAACTCCATCAGGGTCTCCTAAAAAGGTGTCAGAGACCCAAACACTTGAACCATAATCTGCTGCCTTCCCAATTACATTAGAAGAAAGCTGGATTAGGGGCCGGCGCCGCGGCTCACTAGGCTAATCCTCCGGCCTAGCTGCCGCCGGCACACCGGGTTCTAGTCCCGGGTCGGGGCGCCGGATTCTGTCCCGGTTGCCCCTTCTTCCAAGGCAGTCCTCTGCTGTGCCAGGGAGTGCCAGTGAGATGACCCAGGTGCTTGG